TAAACCTGGATCCAAACAGCAATGCCATTTTGGTATGCCAGTAGACTATTTAATGACACTGTAAGAACTACAGAGATTACGGAAATGTTATTCATTACATCAAGACATTCTGCTATCTTTTCAAAGTAAAGACTAAGAACAGTAAGAAAACACAGAGAGGACAATGTGCTTTTTCAGACAAGACTCAAACATGTTACCAAAGAAAAGCCAGGTATGTTACTGCTAAGCTAACCTAAACGATACATCAAAGGGCTGTGGAAGTGACGATTGACGTATAGTACACGACTGTAATCTTGAGACTTGCAAGGAATGCAGGAAGTCCGAAGCATTAAAGGCTGACGCTATCTTTCCTCCTTCACCCCACTTCCTCACCCCGCAAGTCTCAAGATTACAGTCGTGGACTGTACGTACTCACCTTTAAATAACCAGTATGTGTGCCCAGCCTTGGTGGCATTAGACTTGAGGAAAGACAGAATATTTTGGGCAACATCTCTGATAACTTTTGGTGAAAACTTTGAGTTCTCCATGGCACTGCAACAAACAACAGGCTGTACCTTAAAACCTTCCGTATCGCCTATGCTACAGTAATCTATGATCTTAGCTCACACTCACCTATAAAGTAACATTGCCACGGGAACAGTGAATGGGTTCTGTCCCTTGTCATCCATCACATCTGTGCACAGAGACGTCAAGTCATACAGCTTCACCACATCATCGTCTTTACCTACAACACATAAAACATTCCCAGAGTCCTCTGTCACGCAGTGTTAAGACAAACAGTTGTCATTTTCACACCAGAACACTTCCTTAAAATGGGCCACAATAATTTCCTCCTTCATCATTCCCAGCAAAACTCACCTCACTAGATATAAATAGCCTCTAAAGTTGATATAACACTATTTACAGCCTACAAACAGACGCAGATTAGTGGTGTAGCAGATGTCTTAACTGAATATTACCCGATTCAAATCTTCTCAAGTTCCTGAGCTCATCATTTCCCCACGTTACATATACCTCAGAAATGTTAAACAAAATTTCAAATAAACCTGGATCCAAACAGCAATGCCATTTTGGTATGCCAGTAGACTATTTAATGACACTGTAAGAACTACAGAGATTACGGAAATGTTATTCATTACATCAAGACATTCTGCTATCTTTTCAAAGTAAAGACTAAGAACAGTAAGAAAACACAGAGAGGACAATGTGCTTTTTCAGACAAGACTCAAACATGTTACCAAAGAAAAGCCAGGTATGTTACTGCTAAGCTAACCTAAACGATACATCAAAGGGCTGTGGAAGTGACGATTGACGTATAGTACACGACTGTAATCTTGAGACTTGCAAGGAATGCAGGAAGTCCGAAGCATTAAAGGCTGACGCTATCTTTCCTCCTTCACCCCACTTCCTCACCCCGCAAGTCTCAAGATTACAGTCGTGGACTGTACGTACTCACCTTTAAATAACCAGTATGTGTGCCCAGCCTTGGTGGCATTAGACTTGAGGAAAGACAGAATATTTTGGGCAACATCTCTGATAACTTTTGGTGAAAACTTTGAGTTCTCCATGTGTGGCAGGTCTTCCGTCTTTATGAGCGCATATTTAAATCCTTAAGTTTTTAGATCAGCCACAGACTGACTAACTAACTAGATGGCTTACTGAACCCGAAGGTTCATCACCGAATTAACCTAAGCCTTCCATCGGACCCTGTCCTGGGCCAACGAAATCCATTCTCCTTCAACTCCTATCTCCCATAGATCCTGCCTGACATTATCTTCCCATCTACGTCTTCCCAGCGGTCTCTTCCCCTCAGGCTTCCCAACCAATACCTGGTGCACACCTCTTGTCCCATCCATGCGCGCTACATGTCCCGCCCATCTCATTCTTCTCGACTTAATAACCCTGACAATATTGGGGGAGGAGTACAAATTTTTAAGCTCATCATTATGCAATTTTCTCCATGCCCCATCGTCTTCTCTCCTAGGCCCAAATATCCTCCTCAACACCCGATTCTCAATCACCTGCAATCTGTGTTCCTCCCTCAGGGTGAGAGACCATGTTTTGCACCCATACAAAACAACAGGCAAAATTATTGTTTTGTATACTTTAATTTTCAGGTTTAGGCCTCAGACAGACAATAAATTTATAAATGAAAATCAGTGCCAAGGCATTGAACAAATAACCCACTAAACACAGAAGTAAAACAATGCACTGGTTTATTTATTAAGATCTAACGCGGATTAGTTATCTGGTGCAGACAGTGGCGTCGGACCACCAGGCACCGAAGAACTTGAATTTAACTGAAATGTACCTGAGCCTGAGGCTGATGCATGGGTGAGTTGTGTCCCAAAATATGGGCATATCTGTACCGATAAGCATCTGGATATCCTCAAACGTCCACACAACATTGCGCGCAAACTTGTGGTTAAATGTTGGGTCAGGAAGATTCTCCTCTGGCCTTGGCTCTGGCAAAG